TGCTCATTTTCACTGCGGTGACTAGGATTTGCCCTCTTTGACAAAATGGTTGTTATCCCTATAAAATCTGTTGAAAGTTCTGTTTCTGCATACTGTTCTGGTATATTATCTTGTTGTGAGCCGCCCTGAGCCAGCCTAGGCCGGATGGGCGGGATAGAAATCAATAAAATAAATAAATATTAGGGGGTAATGGAAGCTCTTCACAAAATGGCTGCTCAAAAATGGCAGTGTTGTTGCCTGTAATAAGGAGCAGGTATATTACTGACAACTGAGCCAACTTCAGAGGACGGCGGAAGACAGGAAGGCCTGGCGTGATCTGGTCCATGGGGTCGCAAAGAGTCGGACTCGACTGTGCGACTGAACAACAACAACAATATTACTGACAGCACTGTCTGGAACAAGGCCCAGGGCATACATTGAATAACAGACATATACAATCTGGCTGCCCTTCAGTTCAAAGGCCTTGTGACACCCCCCCCTCCCCCGGGCTATTTACTTCTCTCTGCAAAGTGGATTTTGCCATTTCACACAGTAAAATCAAGTCGCAAAGTGGATCGAAACTGCGTTATTTGGGGTGTGTTTCCCTCTCGGTTCCCTCCTAATGTTCCTTCCTGCAGAGCATGTGTCAAAAGGGACCTTGTAGAGGTCTAATCATGGGATAGAACTGTAGACTTCTTCGAGGACTGGTTCTCCCTTATAGGTGGATGGAACTGACACTGGGAAATAAGAACAAAGGCCCAGGACTCCTGGGAACTGTAGTATAATGCAACAGAGACCTTTTTGGTAGGGCAGCTGTTGTTGTAATCGATTTTAAGATCAGAGGAAAAACAAGGGGTTTCTTCTACACAGAGCTGGAGGAGCGTTGGGGGGTTTGGTCTGTGCTTTGCCAAGCTGCCTGCTGGGAGAGAGAGAACTTGCTTTCCTACAAGGGCTAAGTGCTGCTGAAGAGATGAGCTGGAAGAAAAACTCCCTTCAAGCGCTGAGGAGGACAGTAGGAGCTGGAGATCTTTTTTTTTTTTTTGTAGATTTCCTCAGAGGCTTGCAACCAACGCTATTCACATTACCTAGTCCCAGATGCTCACAATCTGACCATCTAGAAACAAAAGAAATGTTGAAGAATGCTTGTTATAATGTACGACAAGTCACCATGGTACATAACAGGGAGTAGCGGGCTATTTTCTTTAACATAATCATTCAGGAAGGCACTTTATAAAGGGAAATGGATAATGTATATAGGAGGTATTATCAGTTTGTTGCACGTATTATCCTGCTGTTGTTTTCTACTGTTTTCTACTGATATGATAGCATTTTTCACATTTTGTTAATCCTAATCCATTGCTCATTAGATATCTCCTTGAACTAATTGTATCGACCTACACTGTACTTGTTAGAAGTCTCTTTGTATGTAAGCTGCCCTGAGCTCTGCTCGCGGGGAAGGGCAGCTGATAAATCAAACGTAGCACACAAACAAACAGCCAGTCAGTTGTTGATTTACACGATGTAATCTGCTTTGAGTCTCAGTGAGAAAGGCTGACTATAAATAAATCAATTTGGAGTTTTATTGTATTTTGCATCTTTTAAATTTGGATTTGTAACCATGCCTTGAGTCAAATGGTAGAAATATTTTAATAAATAAGTGCAAGCATGTACTCTTCTTATCTGTGTTTGTTTTGAATTACTATTCATAAATATACTTACATATACTGTTTAAGTAGAGTTCAGTATGAATCAATGTCTTGGACTTTGTTGTTCAGTCGCACAATCGAGTCCGACTCTTCGCGACCCCATGGCCCAGATCACGCCAGGCCTTCCGGTCTTCTGCCGTCCTCTGAAGCTTGCTCAACTTCATGTTCGTTGCATCTATGACACTGTCTAACTATCTCATCCTTTGCCGTCCCCGTCTTCTTTGACCTTCAGTCTTTCCCAGCATCAGTGAGTGAGTGTAGTCTTGGACTACACAGGTAATTAGTCCCATAATAGTCTATTAGTATAAGGCTATGATTTAAAGGAAATCCATCTACTCTATTTCTTTTTATCTTGTTCTCATTTATCTCTTTTAAAGAACCAATACAGCTGTGTATTAAATCCCGTGTGCCCAACTGCACATAAACCTATTCTGCATTGCCCAAATTATTTTGACAAGGCTCAAAATGTGCCTGTTGGAATAAATCACTCGGTACATACTCCGTCTCGATGGCTATCAAAACCAATGCCGAAAATTAAACAGCAAAGCGCTAGCAAAGGACAGAAGACGAGATTCTGAATAGCAAAAATGTCCGTTGTGAACTGCTGCTGAGCATCAGAGGGCTGGGCATAACATTCTTTCTTACAGAAACACACAGGTGTTTCAGAAGACCTCAGCACGCAACAGACTTCAGTAGGTATAATAGCAACTAGCTAAGGTCCCCTGCTAGAAGCACACCACATGTCAAAGGAACATAAGAAGGAGAGGTGCACTGGATTGGCCAAAGTACAGCATTCCATGTCCACCAGTGGCCAGCCACATTCTTTGGGAACCGACACCAAACTTTGTCACAAAGTGGGGCCATTCTCTGCAATCAAGTTGCTGCTGTTCTGTCATTAGCAGTATGTGGAACTGCAGTGGAGGATTGCACATCGGTGGACATTTCACTTTTGAAATGATTTGCCCGCTGGATTTCCCCATCTTGCTACAATCACAAATCCACCTCCCCTTCTGTTTACTGAATCAGTGGAAATAAACCTCTTCCTTTTAAAGAACTCTCACTAGTGCTAGTTATGTCACGATGACACCAAGAATATGGCCTAACGGGAGAAGCAGAAATGGCAGCGGCCCCAGTTCATGACGACGCAATGGTATATTCATTCCAATTAAAAAAAATCTTTTTTAAAAAGGCCATTGGGTCAAGCAGTTTGGAGGGTGACAGCCAAAACTCTGCTTTCCAATACACTTCATCCTGAGAACATGACATCCACACACCGCAGAAATCCTGCTTCTATTCTGAACAACGGCATCAAATAAATAAATAAATAAATCACACCAAATCATCTTTTAAAAACAAACAGTACCATTATGAAGAAAGAACGGGAGCAGAGTGGACCGATGACAAATGCCCTATTAGAACAGTGTGCACAAATGACGTCATTTTGCCACGTCTGACTAGCGTGGAAACACCTTTTAATGAATCATAATGCAACCATGTCAAGATTGCTTTTTTTGCAATGTTTTACCAAAGCACATGCATGCATTGGGGGGGGGGACCACGGAGGACGGACACAAATGACCCCCAAGGATCTGAAAGCTCAACTAAACTGGACAAAAATAATAAATAAAACCAAAACATTATGCCTTCGGGATAGGGCGGGATATAAATCCAAGGATAAATAAATAAAAACAAATAAATAAATAATGCCTTTGTGGTGGATGCGATTATTAATGGCACTAACACTATTGCACTCGACTTGTGAGCTGAAAAGAGAATTGTTGGGTGTAACATCTCATGTAATCCTAGTTTGGGGCTAAGGGTTCAGTCTGAATTGAAATCCAGATAGATTTATCTTCTGAGTAAATGCCTTGGATCCAGACTAGCATTTCTGCGGGGAGAAGGCTTTCTGATGTGGAGCACATCTTTCTTGTTTCTTCCCCAAGGAAGGCCAAAATGCCCCTCTGAAATCCTGATGCTGCGGGACAGGGGAGCCTAGGAACAGGATTCGGGGGGGGGGGGTATTTTGGGAGAGAATATTGTGCACTGCAGGTGGAAATCCTTCCCCCTGAAAAACAATAGTCTGAATTCAGGCTAGTGTATTTAGAATTCGGACTGCATCACACACATAGAAGATCTGCGCCCTGAACACAGCCACCATCTATTTTCTGGAGTCCTAATAATCTGCATTCTAGGGATAATTCTAAATGTCTACTCATCCAACATTTCTTCCTGGCTTTTGGAATTCCAGATTACCTGGTCTTGTTTCCACCGTGAAATCAATACATGTGAGATTAATTGCGTAATGTTTTGGTTTTATTTATTATTTTTGTCCAGTTTAGTTGAGCTTTCAGATCCTTGGGGATCATTTGTGTCCGTCCTCTGTGGTCCCCCCCCTGCATGCATGTGCTTTGGTAAAACATTGCAAAAAAAGCAATCTTGACATGGTTGCATTATGATTCTTTTTGAGCAGTGGTTTATTAATAAGTCAGGAGGCATGCATGTGTCTGCAAAAATCACACACAAACAACAGGGCTGGGGTGTTTTATCAATGAACAGTCTCCTCGTAAACCAGAATTCAGAAGAATTAAGAGCCCAAAACCAGGAACATTCATTCCCCCCCCCCCATTCCCTCATCGTTTCCATAAAGGCTGCACACCCTTTGAGGCAGATCTTGAGTTTGCATAATTTGGAGAAAGGTGAGATCTCCTCCTGATAATAACAATTAGTTTAATAATCCCCAGTACACCCGTTTGAAATGGTCAGGGGTCCAACTATAGCTCTCATTTCACTAATCCGAATATTTTTTGCCTTTACTGCAACTCGTCGTGGCAATAAGGGTGCAAAACTCCAGGTGAGACCTAACCCTACAACCCCCCCCCCCAATCACAGCTCATCTCCAGAGATCAGTTAGGCTGGAGAAACAATTCTTTGGAGGGTGGACTCAGGGCTGGCTCACTCACTAAGCAAACTAGGCGATCGCCTAGAGCAGGACGGTCCTTAGGGACACCAAACTGCATGCGGCCCGGTACTCTGGGAGTTTCTTGATTATTTGTGTTTTTCATTCTTCCTAAAATGCATTTATTTTTGAAAATTAGTGGGCGCAGGGGGGGGGGCAGAAAGGATCCTCGCCTAGGGTGCAAAATAAGCTGGAGCCGGCCCTGGGTGGAC